GATAACCCCTTGGTTATCCTAGATCGGAACCCAATAACTCTATCTGTTATCGAACTCTTAAGGGTAATCCTTGTGGTCACGCTAATCCTCTAACAGTAACCTTGGCGGTTACCCTGCAGTTCTTCTCCGGATTCATCTTGACGCAGAATTCTCTGAGATGCACAGGGAGCTTTTCATATGCCACTCATCCCCACCACCTCGTGCCTAGCTGGCCTCTAGGTAAGGGGCGGTGATAATGATGCGCTGGTCTATACAGGTCGTACTCACTGTCTAACATATAAACAGTTGTAAAATGGTGCAAAGTCAAAATCGCTTTTGACAAATACTGTAAGATGCTCCATTTCCTCTTTTTTTTTTTATTATTTTATTATCACTATTTTCAATCCATTGTTAGATTAATTAATTGCACTGCAGCACCTATACTTGGTAAAAAAGGCATTAACATGAAAATTATTTTACCTAGCTGCATCACTTGCGTTTATTAATAGCTCGATATTGCATACTTTTTGAAGTATAATTTCATTCATTATTCTGCAATTACGACCACCAATATAGATAAGCGATAGCAACGAAATCCTTTATTAATATCTTTTTCTATCATCCTTATCAATAGTTACATTTAAGAAATTGCCTGAGAGATAATGTTTATAGCCAATTTTGATAGACATGACCTCTAGATAATGAGATTTTAGTACAGTTAGAATAGTGTAAGAATATGTGAGTTAGATTGTATATTTTTGAGTGAAAGTTTGTTGCAATCAAATCAAGTTTATTCATCAATCATTTGCTGTTCAAAGAGTATAGGCAACATATTACAAAATGCACTGAGTAAAATACCACAGTTAATAGAACTGGGTTTAATCGCCTCGGTTTCGTTAATCATGGTATTTTACATGCCATTATTATATAACAAAATGTCACAACTGAAACCATCAACATCCTCAACTATCAGACCTCGACGGCAGGTCTTCGGTGGACAAGCTGGAATTTGTTTTTGTGAAAAAAAGCAAAGGGGAAATCGCTTGGGGTACGGGTAAGAGCCTTTCAGCTCAATCACGACCGCTTTTCAACAACAAACTACTTCCCCTTTCCCCTTCTACTAATTCCGTCTCTTCAGTACTCAATTCAGATAACCCTATACACACTTAAAAACTGTTCAAGAACCTGCTATAGCAAAGGTTGAATGCTTGTTTTAATGCCGAAGTTTGTGCGGGAAATTCAAAAGAGTTTCAAAAAATTCGGACAAACCTGTTTTTCTAAGCGAGTAGGGTGAATAGCCACCAATTGTCGTAAGCATACACAACAAAGAGTAGAAGAAGTGTTTGGAAAATCTTTAAAATTTTGTGAGAATGAAGAAATCGCCGTACCTTTTTGTGATTTAGGTCTCCGGCGGAGACCTACGGGAGACCTTCGATCAAACACTTTTTTGTTTCTCATAACTTTCCTTATAGTAAACACTTCTTGTGCACCCCTTGACCCAACTTATAGCGCAACAATCAGATCGAAGCACTTTCTTCCTTCCTTGTTAAAGGCCCTAAATCGTATTACCATAAAGAAAAAAACACACTCCAAGTACACAGCACTGCAGTGTGCACGTGTTTGTACAGGTTACGAAGGGGCTTCGTAAATCCTGGATTTTCAAGCGAGGATTGGTTTTCGTAAGGAG